AACTATATGAGCTCTTAGCTGGAGTATTCTATTCGATCTCTAGATTGCTTCTCATTGTTTTGCAGTTTGCTTTCATCCAACTGGTAATGGTTGGTAAGGAACACTTGGTATTTGGATGTTGATTTCTTTTTAGTAGATTGGGAATCAATTAATCAGGAAACATTGTTTCTTGATTTTTGGTCTACTGGACAATATCAATCGAATTCCTTTTGTATTATTTCCTTGATCGACTCATGATACGTTGATTTAGTCCCTTGATTCTAGATATTAGTTAGTAGTATATTTAAAAGGGGGATTGTTTGGTGGGTCGCTTAATTGCAAAGTTTGGATTGCAGTTTTGCACTGACCAAAGGCATAAGCAGATTGATGAATAAGAACCATTGGCTTGATCCTTTATGCCCTTATTTGGAAATAGAACTCTATCCAACGGAATTACTTGAATCCCTTATCAAGAAAAAGAATCCAACATATGGGTAGCCGTGTGAATGCATCATAGAGGAATTTACAGAGTGAATTCACTATGACTTTCGGGGAACCCCAACTGCGACAAAGATTCAAAGACGAATGGTTCCCCTGTGACAAAGAAGAACGGAATCTTGAAGGAGTTCAAGAGATGAACTTGATACATCCCAAAATCGATATGGAGGCAAAGTTAAGGGATTATTTAGCAGGCTCAAGTGTAAGTGTGTAACCACCAATTTGAGATACTTTCAATTTGATGTTACTGCTTTAAAAGGGAGTTTTCCCTTTCATTTACCTCTTTTATACGTGTGCCATTTGATTGTTGGTTTCAAAAGGCTCGCTTGATGTTCCTGGGGTTGTATGCTGAGCTAGCCTTTGGTTTTACAAGATCCAGAATTACAAGATTATACAACTTTAGGTGAGATTGATAGCCTTTTGGTCATTAGCTTTAATACAATTAGGAAATACTCTTCCTTTTCATAAGATCGAGTTTTTTTTAATGTCCTAGTTAAGCGATGTCTTTATTACCTTTTTCAAAATTTTAAATCAAAAGCTCCATGGTTCTGATAAACATTTATTTTCCTAGGGATTTTTTTAATTATCATTGGTCTTATCATGGTGAATCTATATTGAGAGCCCAATTCATGACATAGTGCTAGCATAGTTAGTAAATACTCCATTTAATACACGTATATGTACCCGTACATATTTTATCTGTTTAAAACTTCCGTATCAGTATTATTGTCAAGCTGTTTCATTTTTTTCCCGTTCATTTGATGGCTCCCGTACTAAACACGTATTTAACCCGTATAACACGTTTAATATTCATATTAAATGAATTAAATTGTTAACTTTACAATTTTTTATATTTTAATTATTTTCAAAAATAATTAATTTAATAGATTTATGACTATTAACGTACTATTAAACGTAACATTTGCTTAGAAGTGAAGTAACATACCCATACGTATTTTATACGAAACTTTCCCGTACCATATTTTACTATGAGAGCTAGCAAGTTTCTAACTCTATGAATGCTTAAATCTGTCTCTGTACCAAAACTATTGTAATGAGAAATCTCGATTCATTAGCTACTTAGTTGGACACAAAGTATCATGTTAACAAGCAACATGTGCTCTTTGGTATAAGCCGCCACAATAAAAAAAAATTTGTTTGTGTTAAATAACTTCTTATATGTATTGCATGGAGTTGATCTTTTCCCGTTTGTGCTTGATAACTTCTCCAAAAGGTATTTATGCACTTCATCTATTGCTCTTTTAGTTCATATTTGGTGATGTTTTAATATATGGTGAGATTTGTCGAATGTGCACTAGGCACCTTTGGAATAGTAGACTTACTGATTCATGAGTATTGACTTGATACTATGTCAACAAGAAGTGGTTTAAAAGATAGAAGCAGACATCTTAACATGATAATTATAGACGTGGTGGGTCTTTTTGTTATTTGAAGTGCAGGTTTTAATCCATTAAGCACATGGGGAATGGTAGCTTCATAGTAGGTCTGCAATTGGTTGTCGATTTTTCCCCAGGTAAAGTTTTGTTGGGGTTGGTTCATTGGTTGGATTTGATGAAGAAGACAGTCGATTGAACTACTTCAATTTGCCTAAATGGTGCAAAACACCAGAAATGAGCAATGGTGGCTTTGTTTAGTTTTAAAGGGATTGATTTTCCATGTTTTTCTTTCCCCTGCCGCTTTGGGGTTCACAGCAACCGTGTTGACGAAAGGTTTTGGTACACGACGCACCTAAGCTCTTTCGATCGTGTCTAAGCTTCCGTTGGGTCGCGGATTCGGGGGTCGGAGACTGTAAGGTTGGCAAGTTAGCTTTTCTGGTAATCCATTTCTTTATAGATTGGTCGTGAAGCAAAAAAAGGATGTTGATTGGTCTTGATTTTGGGTTTTGGGTTAGCTTTTCAGTCATCGAATACTAGAAGTCCATCACCCATAAAAAGCATTACAAAATGGTATCTTCTCTTTCTCTCACAATGAGTAAAGCTCTCCAAAGATTTGTTGTCAATTTATAATGTCAACCCCAATTTATACTAAATGGTCCAGCTTCCTTTTCTTTCACTAGGCGGAGCTGCTGCTATATTCAATTGATTGTAGGAGCTGATGGTATGTTCGGTCATTGGTATTAGTCCTTTAATTAGGAGATAATGTTGTGTGCTAATTCCTCCAATTGCACCATTACTGTGACAATGGTTTTGAAAAAGATGTTTCTTTAACGTAGGTGGACAGTTAGAGTGTTTTGCTAACCTGAACTTTATAGTTGAAGGGCCACATGTGAAGTGTATTAATCTCCATTCTAGATTGATTTTTATATTTCGTGAGTATGAATGGTTCATATTGAAATTTACCTTTATATTCCCTGTTGAAGCTCCATTAAGCTTGCGATGGTTTATGGTCTTTGTTTAGGATCCCGCCCCTAATGATAATGAAAGATGCTTTAAGGTAATTAAGTGTGTGTTGTTATGCTGTCGTTGGGTTCCCAGAAATAAGAATTTCACTTTGGTGTAGAAAAAATAATGATGAAATCGTTTTTCCTCCCACCTGATAGTATCATGATATAGAAAGACTACGAACTTGCTCACTCCGATAATAACTCATATTTCATAACCAAAACAAACTGTGAGCATTCAACAAGTAGATGTTGATGTTGATGGGCGAAAGAAAAGACCATCATAACATGGACTAGGTACAGGTTAGTCCAGCCGGTTAGCTAATGGTTCCGTGAGCTGTTATTTGTTGTTAGAATTTGAACATGATGATGGGAATGGAGAACTGGGCTAGAGAGTAAATGAAATGCAATCTGCAAAGATATAGGTGAACTCAATTAGACCACCACTACAAGAAAACACGTTTCTATGTTGATTGGGTAGGGTCAGTATGCTTATCTTTGAGTTTGAGAATGATTTTTGCTAGATGGTTATCTTACATCATTGTACTTGAATTAATCCTGATTTGTGAATTACTATAGTTTTTGTCAATATTATACTCTGTCAAAAAATGTCTCTTGAAGAGTTTTCTTGGCACAACTTTTAGTTTTTGAGTTAATAATAGTCTTTAATGAAAATGTGAATGCATTCATTAACATAAAATAATAAAATATAAATGAAATTCATCCGACCAACAGGTCGGGTAAAAGTTAGTTATTATATAAGTTTAAACTTTTTAGTTATTTTATAAGTATTATTTTATAATAATATTTTAATTATCTCCATAAATATAATGAAACCAATGCAAATGTAATGACATATGGAGACAAATGATATTTCTTTCTTAAAGTCTTAGAAAAAGTTATGAAACGGAGACTGATATAATTACATATGGAGACAAATAATATTTCTTTCTAAAAATCTTAGAAAATGTTATAAAAAGGAGACATATATAATAATATTTCGAGGCAAAAAATATTTTTGATTCAAAAGGATAGTTATGGAGACTAATACAATAATTGTGTCTAATTATTTGTTTCCCTAGGTCGATTTTCTTGTAGTGTTCTTTGCTTTCTCTTTGTGGCTAAGGCAACTTGCTTCCTCCCCTACACTATTTCTCAGCCCATCTCCTACGATTCTCAATCCCTTTTTCCCTCTAAAAATCCATCTCCCCTGATCATTCCAACCTTCTCTCCTCAGGGCGCACCTCCTAACGAGTTGGGTTAGGCTTTTTGACGTGGCGGTTCGGGTTTTAATTTTTTTAGGTTAAAATTGGTTGACTAGATATTTCTATTAGTCACGTCAGTAAAAAAAATTGATGGCGTTAATGAAGACTAACATAAGGTAAATAGAATAAAATTTTGCAAGTGACAAACGTGAAATGATTTAGCAATTTCAGCGATCAAACTTACAATTTACCCGACAATATTTGGAGAGCAATTGAAGAATTTTAAGTTTTAACGTTAGAGAATGATTTAAGTTGAAAACCAGTGTTCCATGTACGAAAATGTTGTCTCACTTTTGTTTGGAGGAGAATATAAACACTTATATGGATTTAACACGAATACAGGATATTTTGTTATTTGGGATTATGGTTAACCCCAAAGTGTGGAGTGATTGACCATAATCAGACCGAATTCCACCTCTATTGTGAGCTATTAGAAGATCACATAAACTTCAGATGAGTGTATTGACTCGAAGATCCTGTTAAACTCATGTACTGTTGGAAGACTTAATTCCTACAAGTATATAAGAATTATTTTCTCTATTTTCCAAAATATCTTTAAATTCTTTAGCCTAACCAATTATAATACAACTAGATAATTGGTCCGCGCGTTGCGTCGAGTTGTCAACACATATATCAGTCATGTAAAATTTAGATGAATCTTTTCTTAAATTGAGTGAGATATCGTTAGAGATTGAAACTAACATTTTAGATTGTTTAGCCTTTTGATAGAAAAATGATTTTGGATAATAATTGAGTTTTTACCATTAATCCGCAGTATTGCGTCGATGGGGATAGTACCTAATTTTGATCCTTCTTTTGATATAGATAACTATATCAAGTAATGGATACTATACTTTAAAATCAATTAACATGTATTCTTATATTTAATTTCTAGGAATGTCAAGATAATTCACATTTGAACCCTAGACCATCGTTTTGTTCCAACTATTACTCATATAATGATAACAAAGTCAAACAATATTGAGCAAGCCTGATTGTGTGACTATTGTATTACGATAGAATGCTAACTCAATGTGTGATTATTGTATTCTATAATTGCTTCATATAATTAATTTATTTCTTGTCATACAAATCTCCATTGTACGTTGAGTTCCCTTCTTCCCTTCCATATGTAATTGCTTCACCCTAAACCCCTGCCATCTCTTTACATACATGCAACGAAGATCGATCAATAACATGTGTCAATAAATAAAAACATAATTCAGCTCCATGACTTCCATCTCCTTCCCTAGCTTGCATCATGTCTCTCTCACCGGGTTCCAACCCCAATCAAAATCGGGGAGAACATTCTTTTCTTGGACACCAGACTCTCACACATAACATGAGTGCTTCTCTCTGCGTCCCTCTTTAATTTGGGTTTACTTTCAGCAGCGCCATCTCCTGCAACCCTCATCCTCCTCGATCGCAAGTAAGATGGTCGGCTGCATGCAATGGATCTCATCAACGAATACAACTTACCCTCATTGTTTGGTTAAGCCAATTCCATAGTGATGTACAGAGTGGTTGAATCCATATCCTCAGTTTTAGCGGCGCTCAAACTCAATTAGCCGCCATCCTGGAAAAATGTGGGATCTGGGAGAAGGAGAAGGGGATTCCTTGATATGATTGGCGATAAGTGTTTGGCAAGAAAGGACCATCTCGGAACCCAGCTTGGCCAGCCGTCAGGGATCGTCGGAGGGGGTAAGTGGATTAAACACCGCGCAGAGAATTTACTTCGGAATTGCGCCTAATGGCTAATGGTAGACTCGTTGTAGTAAACCCCTAATACCATAAACTCCGGCGGAGATAGGGGGAAACTTGGCGTTGGCTCTTCGATTCTCCGGCTAGCTCCATCTTGGCCAACCTCCAGAGATTTGACGGATCAGAGGGGCAAAAGGAATGGAGACTAAACGACTCATGGGAACCGCACCGCAATTGGAAGGGATGAGCTTGCCCAATCGCCAGGCGAAAAACAAAAGGAAAAGAAAAGGTAATTAATAGGGGCGCACCAAACTTGCGGTACCCAATCGTCAGGCGAAAAACCAAGAAAAAAGAAAAGGTAATTAATGGGGGCGCACCAAACTTGCGGTAGACCGGTCCGCATTTGCCCAGAACCCTTAAACCAAAACTTGCAAATTAAATGCGAACAACCAAATTAAGAACCCCAAATATCCTCCCCACATTAATAGGACAAATTGTTTTTGTATGAACCAAGTATATATATGAACATCCATCCAATTCCCCTTTTCCAAACTGATAGTAACAACAAAACATCTCCTTCCACCAGGCTGATGAGAATAATGTTCTTTCTTACACAACTTTTCACTTTATCCACACCAAACTACAAACTATAAAACAAAAAACCAGCTCGATTGGGACCATTTCTAATCCTCAACTACTAGAATTCCACAACCCAAACCGACTCTTTAGCTATCCGCAAAAGCTATGGTGTGAACCAGCAACCCACTATCCGGCGACGGCGACGGAGACGACTCCACTGTACACGGCTGCACGCTCCTCTGCCGCAGGTTCAGGGCATGGAACGTCACAGCTCCGGCCAGAGCTCCCACGATCGGCGCAGTTATATATACCCATATGTCTTTAAAGTTCCAAGCCACGATCGCCGGGCCAAGTGACCTCGCCGGATTCATCGACCCACCTGAAATCGGCCTGTTTTCCCAAAAGAAATTGAAATATAAATTGGTTCGATTCGTATATGATAGAGGGTTTCAAAAGGATTGTGCGTACCCTGTAATGAGCACCGCGAGTCCGATGGACATTCCGATGATCAATCCAGACAAGTAACCCACCTGAAAAGCAAAATTGCCCTCAATGTTCGAACTCGAATTACAACGAGAAAACAAAATGAAGGGTGATTCTTTTCTCTTAGCTTACTGATTGAGCATGGCTAGTCAACGCGGCGGCGACGAACATGATCATGAAAGTGGCCATGAACTCAACCCAGAAGGTAGAGACGCAGCCCTGAAGCGGTCTAGTAGCCATAAGTTCCGGGTCGATCCCGTAGACCGACTTCCCGACGTATGTCGCCAGGATCGAACCGATCGTTTGAGCCGATATGTAGAACGGAACCTTTTTTTCGAAAAATCGAAACGTTACACTATGTTCAAATCTTGAAGTCAGCAATGTAAATGTTTTTTCTACAGAGAACAGAGGTTAATTATTGTGTATACCCTGGGCCAGGGGAAATGGCCGAATGCGGCGAAGGCAATGGTGACGGCGGGATTGACATGGGCACCGGAAATGGAGCCTATGGAGAAGATCAACACGACGACGGTTAGCCCCGCCGTGGCAGCATACTCCAACAGCCCAACCTGGCCTTTGAGTATCTGGGTGCTTGCTATGATCCCACACACGCAGAACATCAATATGAAAGTTCCCATCATCTCCGCCAAAATCTGCCGCCATTCCAATTTTTTTTATAAACCCTCAATCAACAATTTTATGCTAATTATACTAAACAATGATGAAAAACAACAAGTTTTCTAGGCACATTTACCATTCGAGCAGGGTTGAAGTCCATTTCCTTGACGTAGCACCAAAGACTATTCGAACCCAGAACTTCTCGATCATTGTTGCCTCCAGACGAGCCAATGCTGCTGGATGCAGTGCGAGATGCAGCGGGGGAGGGATGTTGTTGGAGCAACTGCTTCATTCTGGCAAAGTCACCTCTACCAGTTGCCACAATTCTCATTCACAAAGTAGTGAAAAATAGTGCAGAAGGGAACACTCCAACAGCTACCCAATGGGTTTGATGGTGTGTGTGGTAACTAAATTGGGTTTTTGTTATGTTTTCTTTCTAATGCATGTATAAAGAAGATGAAGGGTTATATAAATTGGGAACCAAGGGAAAGGGCTAACAGCAGAAACCAAGAAAGCACAGTTCATGTGGGTGTTTGTGGTATTGTTTAGATGAATTTTGGTGGCTCTTTTTAACTGTTCTACTTTCTTTTTTTCAATGCTGCCTGCATAGTTTATCCAATCCCCACCAACAAATCTTTCTTTGTGAGGGGTGATTGGATGTTCATCTTTACTTTACCTTCACTCTTCTTTTCTTCCATTGACATGTTCTTGCCATAGGCAGCAAGGTTTTGGTATTGTACATGGAAGTGCTTTGGTGGCTTCTTCACACATTTGGGGCTTGGGCCCTGGTTTGGTAATGGGTGACGAGGTACCTTCACATGGGTTTGGAATGCCTGTAATGTTTGAAGAGATGCGCTAAAAGTTTGGTATTGATATTTGAGATAATATCGATACCATATTGAGCAAAAAATAATAGTTTGTTTAGTCGACCAAACGATAAATTGAACGAATAATCAATTTTTTTTTGTCTTAAAACATAAATTTCAACATGCATACATAATTTTGTTATCCTAAATACAAGTAAATAATACAAAGTTTTAGCAACTCAACTTGCACCACAACATCATAAAAAAATTTCTCCAAATAAACATTAACATTTTTTTCCAAATAAACATTAACATAACATTACATGGAGATACGATTGTCTGTATCTCTGGCGGAGTGTGGTTTCTTAATGAAGGAGTGAACGAGAATTGCAAAATTTGGGTTGGGACTTGGATCTCGTTATGGAATAGGAGAGTGGTCGAGTGAGTTGCTAACACGGATTAGCATGTGAACTGGGTACAATTTTGATACGGCAAATCGCGGTCTAGACTAGATCAAGAGATCAAAACGTTATATAATACGTACCAATGACCAGACCATACCATTTTTAACGGTTTGCTATCCAAATCAAATTGTCTGGTCTAGTTTGATCAACTGACTCGCTACGACACAACACCTAACAATGGCCAAGTGTAACCAATGGAAGGGACTACAGTATAGTGGCTCAAGTAATAAATATCGAATCCACGGGTCTCTAGAGTTACTATTACTCAGCTTCAGTTCATTATCTAACAAACCAGATTAAGATGGAAGAACTAAAACTACTCTAACAAACTACAGTTAAAGTTAATCTAATTACAGGTTGGGAACTCACTTAGGTATGATTCCCCCTAGCCACTAGCCAGATTAATGATTGATGATCTCTAACCTGTTTTACTTTCATTCACAATGTGGAGAATCCTTGACTAGACCTTGAGTCTCGACTAAAGGAACGAGGCCCTCTTGAGTCAATTGCCTAGAGGGACGTATCCTTCTCTAGAACAACTGATCAAGGCATTCTGAACTAGACTCCCTCTATCGAAAGAGGTTCTCAATTGATACAAAGCAGTGAATCAACCCTCGGCTAAAGCAATTGATCCAATACTATCAATCTATGGTACTCTATTGACCTAATCAGGTATTCGCTCTCATAGGATCAAAGCATAATCAATAATCTCGACTAAAGCAGAATTGAAACATGAAAACATGCATAGATTGAATATGAACTCAAGATTATCAAGTAGGAGTACTCATACAATCATCCAGTCAAACAAACACAGATAGGGTTCCTCAAAACCTAAGTGAAGGGAAGTTACTCCATAGAGAAGAGAAAGACTGCAGTAAGAATCTTCAGATGATTTCCAAGGCGAAGAAATCCTCCAATTCCACTCCAAGAATGCCCTCAAATCGCCCTCTCTCTTTGGTTCGTCCCTTGGGTGTTTGGGATCCAAAACCTAGCTCTCCCTTGCAAAAATGCACAAAATAGGCTTTTAACAGCCTGCGTTCGCGATCCCCGGTCGGGTATTTTAGGTGGCGACCGGGGATTGTTGAAATACACCGCTTTGGACAGGGGATTAATCCCCGGTCAAGGTCAAGAATACCCGACCGGGAATTGATGCTCAATGCCCGGGGCCCCTTCTGCTTCTCAAACGCCCAAAAGCGGTTTTCCCTGGTCTGCTCCGATTAATACCTGACCGGGTATTTCTGCTCATGGCCGGGTATTTTGCTCCTCCAGCACACTTCAACTCAAACGTGCTCCTTTCGACTCGAAACTCGTTTCTTCGCCTCGATGCCAATGCCAGGCCCTGAAATATGACATAAACACACAACCTAACGTGAAATCGGCTTAAAACACGAGAATCAACATCTCAAACGGCTCAAGAATAGGGGTAAAAACATGTGCAATCGATGGTCTATCATCAACGATTTCCCTAAAAGTATGATCAATTTTCCTAGTCTTAATCCCGAACAATAACGTGTGTGATTTGTTCAAGTTATATCATCCCAACCAAATCACTGTTGAACATGTGTAACTTGTCAATGCAACTCATACATGTGTACAATGAACCAAGTTACTCGTTCTTCTAGATACATCAACAAGACTTTGTTTTTTCATTGATGGTTGGTCCCAAGGCTAAGATTTGAACCTACTTTGTTCTTTTAAGGCAAAATACACTTTCATAGCCATAACTATTCGCGTTGTGACAAAAATAGCCACTTTTTGAAAAATACACTCGTATAGCCATTCCGTCCAAAACTTTAACGGGAATCTCACGACTGCTGACTGTACTAACGAATGTTTGTACTGTAGTCGTGGTTCATCTACGTGGGAGGACAGGTGGAAAGTGTTTCTTATTTCATTACTTAAAAAAAAAAGTTAAAGCCTAAAATTAACTTTACCAATTAATGGACCCTGTTGACTATTTTGAACGAATTTTACACTTTCTCTTCTCTCCTTCTTATCTCACTGAAACAACACCCCATCACTCCAGATCGACACAGTCCATCGATCGAAGACACACCTTGACCCAACCCTCTGTCGAGTTAGTGAACGACGTCTCCCTGTACCGCTCCTCCAACTCGGGTGAAGCTTGGACAGAGGAAACCATGCATTATCCGGCTGGTGAATAGACAAACAGCGAACCCTAATCCTTTGTCGCACCAGCCACTTGAATCGTCCAACCCAGAATCGCGACGCGAGCCCGGCGAACCCTAATTTCAGATGATTTAGGGGAAGAAATCCCCAATTCGCGGCACGCTCCTCCAACCAAATTTTGAACATCTACCTCCTCTCACCTTGTTCACCTTCCTTCGCACGAGCAGGCGCCGATTGTGGTGATATCCGAATCCAGCGGCGATGGATTCAACGGCAGTGGCAGAGGATACCTATGTTGGCCGCCTAGTCCATTGAATCTCCAAAATCCTCATCTCTGACGAGATCTCCAGATCTGTTTGAAGCCCCTCTCCTTAAAATTGAAGAAGCGAGATATTAAGGGTTGGGTGAGTGCAGGGTGAGTACCATAAATAGATTGACAGCCATCACTCATCCATAGTCGCCGTTAGGAAGACTTGGGGTTTTGGAGAAAATCGAGCAATAAAAATTCCGGATCGAGAAGCTAATCGTCGGGAGATTCGAACTACTTTTAGTGAAGAAGAAGTAGTGGAAAGATATCAGACTGATTGAAGGATATTTTTCGTCGGGGAAGATGATCAGAGCAAGAGAGGGGCGGCGGAGGAAGACGATGATCGAGAGAGGAAGGCTGGAGGAAGCGATGACTTCTTCGGTGGGCGGCGAAGGTCAATGGTTGCTGTGTACGGGCAAGCCACCAGATAATGGAGAGAGAGAAAAAAAAATTAAAACAATTTCTTTCTTTCTACAATTTTTTATTTTTATTTTTTTAGTAAAATTAATTATTTGTTGTTAAAAATTATTTAAAATATGATGTGGCATCTAGTTGGTAATGATGTGTCGTCCAGGTGGCGTCCAGCTCAGCGACACGCAAAGGTTATTGACGGCGTTAGTGTCGACGTTAAAATTTATAACGAAAATGGCTAAAGTTGTCAAGCAAGTTTGAAAAAGTGGCTATATCTGTGTATTTTTCACAAAGTGGCTATTATTGTCATAACGCGAATAATTATGGCTATGGAAGTGTATTTTGCCTTCTTTTAATGACTAGGAAATGGAGAATTTTATGTGACTCTAAATCTATAGAATAAAATAAAAGTGATTTACCACCTATTCTTACATTTTATTTTAATTTTGGTTCTTAGTTACAAAAAGCTAATTCAACATGTCATACATATCAATATCAGAACGAAATATTTGGGTATCAGAATTGAGATGCCAAATCGGTTTTTAGTGTTATTTGGTAATCATGATTCCAATATACCATATCGCACCATTGAAAAGTAGAAAATTTGACAAAGTCTATAAAACCACGATATTTAAAAGTTTGTTTGTCGAATTTAAAAAATGAAGGGGGCTGGGTAACACCTTAGATTTGAAATATGAAGGAATTATGATTTGGTTGGAGTTGAACCATTTCGATGTGAAAATTTAGTTTTTTGTTTGCTGGAGACTAGGTTGTGCTACGTTGTATTTATGAGCTTAGCATGAAATTTACTTTGGACACTCTCATCGATCTGATCCATCTCATTCTCGACACATTTTTGTCTAAATTACATATAAATTTTACTCAAATTACTAAGAATTTTGATTTTATTTTCTCATATTTTAACTATAATAAAGTTGTATATAGGTGAGAAACTCAAATTATTGAATAATTTAACTACATTTATTAGGTTGATTTTTGATTTCTTTAATGAAAAATCAATGTTTCTAAATTTTTTTTTCTTTTAAGTCACGTACTCTTATATATGAATCAACCTAACCTGACTCATGTCCCATAATAAATTACAGACCTGAACCTGAACTACTACAGAGCGGATATGAATATCGAAATACCTACTCGACCGTTCGTAATTACCAGCTTGCCATCCCATCCCCATTTTCGTTGGAAAGCCAAATGTTTCGCGCCAAACCATTTCAGTCGTGCCTAACTTTCCGTTAACAAAGTCTTGTTTTCTTAATGATCACTGGCTTTGACCAAATTTCTAGTTTAAACTTTAAAGAGGGCAGAGAAGGGAAGAAATTGAACTGGGCCAAATTTATCATTTTACACTAGATTAGGGCCCGGCCTTTTGGGCGGGAGAGTTTGATTTTCATGTATACGTGTAGTAAACATTGAGGTATATTTTTTTTTATGGTTCATGTTGTTGAGGATTAAAGTAACTATTTAATTTGGTAAGTTCTCCATGAATAATATAGGAAAGTATTTAATGAATGACAACCAACCTCCAACTACACTAACATAAATACATATTTTCAAACAAAGTCATATCTATATAAAAATGTCTAAGAAGAACAATGATAAGAGTTGTTTTACATCATACAAGCATAATCAATCTTCAGTATACGATAAAAAATTTGTCTTTTCCATTTACTTGAGTGTATTCAATGATATAATGAAACAAAGTATATGTTTAGAGTGTCCTTAAAAAGAAACAAACTAACTCACACAGTCATGGTTCGAGTGACATTTCATATAGAAAGCTAAATCAAACCGAAAAAAAGACAAACACTAAAAGCAGCATACCTAACATTTTGGGGGAAATCCACAATAATAGAAGTCATTGTAGCTCTTACTAAAGTTAGAAAGACTTTGATTTAATGGTAAGTAAACAATGATATGTAGTAAGAGGGAAGATGAGACCTTACAGTGTTTATTAATATGCATCTTAGTTTCATAATTTTTACATCATTAAAAATTTATGTGTTGAATAGAAACCCATCCATGTTTGGAACCATTGTAAAATGTAAGTTATGCGGCAAATGAGAAGTCTCAAGCATCAACATGCTTGAAAAAATAAATCTATATTATCAAAGATAAAGTCATATCTTGCATAAGAAAAAGAATACTAAATTAAACCCAATGTAAAAATAA